AAAAAAAAAAAAAAAATTATGAATTTATTTCTTATTCAATTATTTCATTTTACCATCCGTTTTATTCGCTCATTCATTCTTTCATTCATCCATTCTTTCGTCTCATTATTTGTTTATTTTACAAAAGGAAATCCAAAGGAAGCGAGAATTTGATCGAGCATTTTTATTATTTCATTCATTTATTATTACAAATAGACCCAGATAAAATAACTAATAAGGCGATAAAGCCTCACAACACTTCATTACATCGTTATAAGACGTGAAGGATTTGTATTGTCACACCGAATGCAGATAAATAATTTTTATTTTCGATAATGGTGTGAAGAACCTAATCGATGTATACCGGGCATGGTCAATTGAAGGAGGGTTAACAGATACTGATTGTGGTCGATAAATACCAACAACGGTCGATATATACCGGTCATGATCGATTGAAGGAGGGTTAACAGATACTGATTGTGGTCGATAAATACCAACAATGGTCGATGAATATCGACCATGACCAACAAACCCCGACTTTAGTTTACAAACATTATTGGTAAAAGAATGTCGACTGTAATCTATGAATACCGACCTCAGTCGACTAATATCGACCGCGATCGATGAACACAGGATGCGGTCGACTAGACGAGTGGTGGCTGGATAATGAACACAAGCTAGGAAAAGTAGCTTTTGTAAAGAATAGAAGAGAAAGCATTAAATAGTATTAAATGCAAATGGGCTACGCATCCATGGTTCATTTCGCATACTTTTAACACTTTTTTTCATAGTCTTTAGTGAAAATAAAGTAAGAAATGATACTAATGAAATGATGTTTAGAGTTCTTCTTTGGATGTTTTGGTAGATCCTGCTGTTGTTGTTGGTTCTGTTGGTTTGTCCATGGACTCTGCTGCTAGTTTATTCTGCAGTCGTCGAATCTCTTCGTCGTATTCTGGCCATTCTTTCACTATACGGACAGCGCTTTTTAGTTTGGGCTCTTTGGTTTGTGGATTATTGCACTGAAGGAGTGAAGAAATTGAATTAAGATACTTTTTGGTGACTTTCTATACAATTCCTTTTTACATGAAAACAAAAATGTCACAATAAAAGAAAACTACTGTAATCCTCATGTATCACCAATCATCATCCTGCATCATCATCATCATGCATCATCGGTCATCATCCTGCATCATCAGTCATCATCATGCATCATCAATCATCATCCTGCATCATCATCATCATGCATCATCAATCATCATCCTGCATCATCATCATCATGCATCATCAATCATCATCCTGCATCATCAGTCATCATCCTGCATCATCATCATCATGCATCATCATCCTGCATCATCATCATCATGCATCATCAATCATCATCCTGCATCATCAGTCATCATCCTGCATCATCGGTCATCATCATGCATCATCGGTCATCATCCTGCATCATCGGTCATCATTCTGCATCATCATCCTGCATCACCAATCATCATCCTGCATCATCATCATCCTGCATCATCATCATCATGTATCACCAATCACCATCCTACATCATCATCATCATGCATCATCGGTCATCATCCTGCATTATCAATCATCATCCTGCATTATTATGCATCATCATCATAATGCATCATCATCATCATCCTGCACCATTTTCATCGCATAATCTTCATCATTGTCATCGTCATCCTTATCACCACTGATCGAAACCTTCTACGCAGTTATTTTTGTTTTCCTCGTACATAAAACACAACACAATAATTTCAAACCCTGTGGCATCGTTCTTTTCATTTCTTACCAAGTCAATAGTTTTGGCTGTTTTGAGTGACTCATCACTGCACCATGTCTCGCACCATAGCCATTCCTGAGGCAAGGATTTGATTGGCACCTGGTGAATCATGTTATTAGGGAGATCCTGTGTGCAAGAAAGTTAAAAATACTTATTAGATTTAATCGAGATAACCAACCTAACACGGCACTCGCTCCTTCTCGTGGGAGGTCCCTGGGAACGAGGTTAATAGATAATTTCGTATGAATGTGAAACGGCACGATCACGGTACGAAATTGATGATAATCTGTCAACCAATCACAGCACACAAAATCATTGCTCATCCAATCGAAATGCCAAGGTAAAGCACTACTACGATTACGTCAGTTCTGTACCGTATCTTCGTCTCTCTACTTCCCCCGTCAGTTCCCATCCACAAGGGCCAATGGCGTTTCCAAAAGTAATAACTATTAATAGCTATTAATATTTTGTAATACTAACCTGGTCAAGATTTGAAAGACTGTTAGGGTCTTGACTTAATCCCTGTGAAAATAAAAGCAATCAAAAGGTAAGTGAATAGACACGTCCCCCAAAGTGAACACGACAATGTTTATTCTCTCATTCGCTTCAGCTGTGTCAAGCTAATACATCACATCTCTCTAACCTGGTACTGTCCACGAAGACGATCACCGGCAGCCATTCGCCTGAATCTCTTCAAATCAATAGCGTACAGTGCACTGAAAATACGAATAGAAAATCACTCATGTTGCAAGTGTGGTAGGAATATATGACTAGCTAGCAATTTCGTTCAGCATCGTATCAGGATACGTCATCATCATATATGACATATATCACCATGCACCACCAGCTTCAGCGTCATCATCTCACCATCATCATCATCATCGTTATTGTCATCAATATTATCATGATTACCTTCATTATCATGATCACCATCATCATTATCATCATCATTATTATCAACATCATCATCATCAACAACATCATCACCATCATTATCATTTCATCATCGTCATCAACATCATCATCATCAACATCACCATCATCATTATCATCATCATCATCATCATCATCATCATAACTAGCAGCAATAGCATCACGAACGTCATCACCACCTTGATCATCATCATAACCATAATCACTAAACATGTTCATTGGATCATGGCTTCTCTCAAGTTACCGAGAACGAATGGCAATACCTGATGTGGTACGATCTGTACCCAAGATGACTTCTCCAGTAGCCCTGCTTCCAAAACCTGTACATCATACAAACAGAAATAAACCAGGTTATTCAGGGAAGAATACAAAGATCTTATACTTATACGAAATCTAGTGTGTTGGAATCATGCTCTCTTGGTTATGCGCGTTCTCACCTGAAACCCTCCATCTCAGTTCTGCTATCACAGAAAGGAGTATAAGCATATGGAGATCCCTCAAGGTCCATGTCCATTAGTTCCTGTAAATCAGCACGAACAATCTGCAAAAGAAAAAAAGAAAAAAAATGATCAGCAAATAAAAATAAGGCGAAAAATAGAGAGAGATCGGTTAAATGCAGGGCATTAGCTTCAACGATTTTTTTAAAAATTCTCATTTTGCAAACTGAAATCGATTTTAGAGTAGACTGCGTATGATTGTGTGAAGTCATGGATCGCGATGCGGTTATTGATATCATTCAACCAATCGATTACAGCTTTGAGATTACTGTTCAAGACACAGCTCGACCACGGTGACGAAACGGCACGTCCCTACAGCCACTTTTATTCATATCTATACGAAATTTACTATGAATGCAAAGATGTTTTTTTCCCAAAGAGGCGAGGCCATGATTCTGTCGTGAGTACAAAATAATTTTTCTTACCAGATCAGCATCGACGAAAAGAATCCTCTTGACGTGGAGAGGGAAAAGCACATCAAGGAAGAGGATCTTATACCTGGAAAAAAGAAAGAATTGGAAAAAAATGGAAGAGTGGAAGTGGATGGGAAAAATGGAAAGAAGACATGAAGAGCATATTACGACGTGAGGAAAGAAATGAATAGAAAATGTCATGAATGGGAGCAAATGAGGAAAAAAGATGTCATAACTTAGAAAAGAAAAAAGCGAAAAATAAACAAATATAGAATGGGAGAAAATGGATAGAATGGGAAGAAAATGGATAGAATGGGAGAAAATGGATAGAATGGGAAGAAAATAGGAAAAAGAAAAGAAAAGAAAGAAAAAGTACATAACTCGAAGATAGAAAAAATTAGGTAAATATGAAAAAAAGGATGGGTGGGAGTGAATGGGATAAAATAGATATTTACCCCCATATAATTCTTTGTTTTTCTGTCTGGGCGTGCAGCCATCGTGGCCACTGGTATTGAACTAACTCGTATTCGAAGCCATATTCCTTGGCCATGAGAGGAAGGAACGCCTGTGCGGGGGGAAAAGGATTAACGAAATGAATAATGAGAAAATAAATGCACGCGAAAAATATGAAAATATAAAAATGAATACATGAAGTAATGCACATACAAACAAATGATCATAATGATAAATGGATGGATGGATGGATGGATGGATG